ACATTTTGCTTGGGATGGACAGAGAGGGAGCATGATTCCTCGCCAGTTCTTGCAAAGACTTAGGTCTCTCTTTTTCGGGAATTTGGCAAGGTAGCCTTTCTTCCAATCTGCAGGTACCTTTCCTTTCTTCATTGCAAACCTTCTGCAGTGGTGGTGTAAGCATGTCCGCTGTTGTCTCTGCGTCTGTTCTCAGTGCTCCTGGAGGAATTCCATCTGGCTCTGCTGCTTTCCCGGATTCCAGCAGCTCTATGTCGCTCAGGACTCCTGCTCTGCCGGAGGGCTTGTGTTCACCGGTAATTCTGTGACTGGGCTACTGGTGGTATTTCTGGACGAGTTGCAGGTGGTGGTGGTCGATTGAAGAGCTTTTTAAAAAGGTCAGCCCATCGTTTCCTTTGTTTCTCTTCTTTCTTTGATAACTAAGATTCCTTCACTATCTTTCATTGGTTTCATCTGTGTTGATCTCCTCCCTCCTACATAGTAACCTGGTTATTTAAGAAAGTGTTGTCAGGTCTCTCCTACCAGCACCCTGTTCTGCTTCACTGGGCAATGCATCGTAGAAGTGTCTTTTGTCTTTCCGTGCACTCTTCTTTACTTCTTTGTTCAGTGTAGTATTTTATAGATTGTGTTCAGTTCCTCTTTACGTTGTTCATCTTCGCACTGCACTGGTTCATTTTCAGATTCACCATCTTCTTCTCCCTGCTCTTTCAGCTTCCATGTTTCCGAGGAGATCCATTCCTTGTCTTGCCTCTTCTTCCTTCCCCTTACGGTTATGGATGTTTCCTTCCACATCTCTTTCACAGATTTCCAGTGTTCTTTTATACAGGTTTCCTCGGGGATGTTCTCTAATGTCTCCCATTTTGTCCTGATGACTGACTGAAGTGAAGATGTCCGTTTTAGTTTCATACTTCAGTTTCTGTTCCAGGTCTTCAACTTGAACTGTGGTCTATCATCACCAACCTCTCTGAAGGCTTTCAACTTGATTTTGAAAAGAGGTTCCTTGCACTAGATAGTGAGTGGTGTGAACCTACATCTGCCCCCTTTTTGATCTGATCATGTGTCCAGTAGGCTGCGTCTCCACTTTCTTCACATTGAAATGAAGCCGATCTGATTTTTAGTGTGTTCTGGTGTCTGGTGAAATCAAATCCATGCCGCTCGCCTTGTGAATATCCTTGTGTTTGTACACACTGCCCGACTCCAATCACCAAATCATTAAATGCGCAGAAATCCTCAAACAGTTCACCATTCTCATTCATTTCACTAAGTACTTCTCGACCCGTGATTGGTTGTGTTGTCCACACCCAGTCTGGCATTCATATCGCCCACTATTAGTTTGATGTCGCCATTTGGGGTGGTATCTTGTCCATTACTGATTGTATTTGTCTACGGAATTCCTCCTTCTTCTCTTCATCTGCAGTATTTGTCGGCGTGTAGCATTGAATGATTGTGACTTTCCTTCCTTTTCAGTTGAATCTTGCTGTCATGATCCCGCAGGAGGAGACTGGTTCCCACTGCATGAGAGCCTTCGATGTTCTTGGGGACGTCATGATAGCCACTCCGTAACTCAGTGTGCTCGTGGTTATCGCGTGGGTGACAATATCTGAGTAGATTATTGATTCTCCAGTTGACAGTTTGAAGAGTCCACTCCCATTCCATCTGCTTTCGCAACACTTCCTAACACTTCAATGTGATATCTTCTCATTTCTTTTGCAATCTGGGAAGCCTTGATAGGTTCAAACATTGTGTGGGCATTCTATGTCACCATTCTTACTTTCGCTTTCATCGAGGGAATAGAAGAGACATCGACTAATTAGCTCAGAGGGGGCTTTCACCGAACCGTGTCAGTTTGTCTCTCCAATTCCAGCGAGGAATAAGTTTATGTTTATTTTCTGTATTTTCTTTGTGCTTTGAAGTTTCCTTAGCGGTTGGATTTGTTTTACGGGGTAGGGTTGCTAGCCCTATGCCCAACCTTGCCTCTTTATCTGGGCTTAGGACCGGCTAGTAACTAGTGAACTAGTAAACTAGGTGAGGTTAGTATTATTTAAAGATAAGGGAAATCACTAGTGTGAAGTAAAATAGGTTTATATTGGTGTTTGTCTATCTGAATATTTAATATTTCACTTCAGTTTACAGATGCTCAGATGAAAGACTTCAATCCGACTAGAAATTATCATTGACATTTTTACACACTCTCAGTGAGATGATTCTTCAGATGAGGCTTAAACTCATTTCATCCAACTTGATCGACAAATCGAAGTTTCCCTAAAGCGTTTCCAAGTTAAACTCGGGCTTTCATAGCAATGGGAAGAAGTGTACATTTTTATAGGGTAGCTGAATTCCAAAATAAAACAGTATAATCTTTGAGTTTTACTACCTTTCCGAAATTCTAGGAGTAGGAGGGCTTTACATACATATAATAATACAAAAATTCTAGACGTCGTCTTACAAGTGAAACAGAATAATTACAGTTCTCACAGGTGCCAATACATGGTAGAATAAGAAGTTCAATCAGACTAAAACTAGTAATTAAAAATGAGAGTTTCGGAAATACCATAAAAGTTCGATGTTACTTTTTCCTACCAGTGATCTGTTAAGTATGAGGAAACATGGAAATGAATGGTAAATATAGAACTCATGGTTTCTATAAACTGACAACTATGCAAATAGAACGAGACACCTCTAAGTAATAAGAACATACTTTAAAGTTGGTATTCGTCCCGGACTAACATCACTTGGGGAGCCACTGAAAACCTGGTAGCACTGAATAGTTGTTTCTTCCTGGTTTAAGGACTCCCCATTGGATGGAGTGGTGGTATACACTGCTGAGACTTTCCATACTAAGACAAAAAAAGCCATCCAGTCTTCTTAGATTTTCGATTGTTCCCCAACTGGTATCAGTCCGTGATGAATAGCAGCTTAAAATCAATCAATTCCTACAAACCTACAAAATTGAAAAATACTTTGCCTGTGGAGAGTCATAGCTGGTTATTTTGAGTAGAATACAATGGATAAAAAAATAACTAAGACAGCAGAATATTAAGTTTTATTACGATTGAAAAAGCAAATAATAATCATAGAGAGACTATTTATATGCTTTACGTGCATAACCCACTAGCCTGAATTAAAGTGAAAAGGCGTTTTTCGTTCACTTCCATGTACAGCAGTCGATTGGTTGAAACACTAATCCACTAAAGTAAAACACTTATAATGAAATATTGGATTAAAATTAGGTGAGGAATGTTATTTTAGTACAGCAAGAATAACCAATTTCACAGAACACTATGAATTCATAGTATTTCATTGCCTTCCTTTCGATTGTGTACAGGCTATAAAAATGTATGTGATATATACAAAGGAAAACGATCTACATATCTTAATGATTAAGAGGATTGGTGAAAGATGATGAAAGAAATGATACAGATTAAAGAAGTCCAAATGAAATAAATCATTAAGGCTTAAATCCAGGCTATCTGACATATATATTATCAGACTGTCCTTTTACTAAATGGCTAAACGGAACAGTGAGATGGAAAAGATTGTGTAAATAGTTGTGGTAAGTTAATTCTGCAAATATAAGGTTAAAAGTTGAACACTGGTAGGGGTCAAAGCGGTTCAACTTTTATCGTAAAGTTGTGGAGATAATATAGGAATTGTTTGGGAAATCAGTTGTTAAAGGGAATAAAAATACCAAAATATATAATAGTTTGAAAAGGTTTATGCTGAATAATAAAACAAATCAGTAGTTACCATGGCGGTTAAAGGTTGAAAATTACCTATTTTTGGAAACACAAGTTCGGTTCCACTATATCACTGTGTGTTATAAATCAAATGAACAAATCTAATATAGAATTAAATTCTACCACAGTGCCCAAGTTTAACACCTATATTAACACAAGTTCGGCTTAATTCTTTTGGTAGTAATTATTTATGTGAATCTTAGTAAATATCTCTCTCATTGAAGAAAAATCACCTGTTTAACGCCTTTCTGATTAAAACGAAAGATGTATAGAGAAAAGTCACCCTTTTCAGCGATGTCCTTCTCAAACGGTGAAATCACATTTAGATATTCTATTCACATAGTAACAGAAAAGGAATGTTTCGTGAAATATTTTGAATGAAGTTCAGATTTGATTATAAATCAGGAGATCGGAAAAAGAAAGAAGTATGTTATGTTTAAAATAGTAATGAGAAGAAGACTTATCAAGATGGAACTAATATTTTTTTTACTTAGTTCAATGATGTCACACGGTGAATGTAAAGAGAAATCATAATTATAGAAATGAAAGAATGTAAGATGTGAGATCTGAATGAAAGGATTTCTGAAGGTAAAAATATTCGTATAGATTATGTCTATTGCAACTCAAGTGATTGGACAAATTTATCCTGAAAGTAGAGTTCAGGCTTCAAAATATTAATTTCCATGGCTTTAATAGTTTGAAGAAGTTTTAGGCGTACACCTTTCACGGGACTTGTATGAACCCTGTTTTCTGCATTTATTGGGTTGTCATGACCAAACAAATATTCCTAAATAGACCTGTAAAATGTCCTCCTTCCCTTCTTTGTAGAACCAGGCTGGTAAACATTCGGAAATACGTTTGTAAAATTAACTCTGAGTGCGGCCAATATAACTTACTCCACAGAAGCATATGAACTGATAAACACACACTGAGGTGGCCAAGGGAGCTAACTTACGCTTTACGCACAACCGAAGCATTAGGTGGATGGGGAAAGTTAGTCTGAGTTTGGCAGTATAGAAAGTCTTTCTCAATGGGCATGCCAGACGGTTGTCTTAAAAGAAGTGTCTCGTATGAATCGTAAATTTAAGTTCGAAATATCTTATATGAAATCGTTCTGCAACTCCTTGCTGACTAAGGAGTAACATTCTAGATAAGATAATTTCTTATTTTATTTCTTTTGGTACTCTGTATTTGTTGACTTTTATTACTTCCTCTAGATATTTTTTCTCGTTCAATATATATTCACAATATCTTTCTAATTTACAGCAGCTTTACTCAAAATCCAAATTAGATAATCATTCTGTAACAACTCCAACTCAGTCTTCAAGTAATTCTCTTAGAGAACAGCCGACAACAAAACCTATAGTAATTGTGTGCTGTGTTGGCCGTACGTGTTTGTCAGCATCGCTACAATCCCTTTTACTGCAAATTATTGAAGAGATGGCATCTAAATTTGAAGTCGAAAATCAAAATATCAAGTCATTATGTGAATATGCTGAAGCAGTCCGATTATTAAATACAATGCTCAGTTACGCCAGTGCATTAAAACCAATCCTAATCGTGATTGATGACATTGAATATCTTTATCCAGATGAACATGTACAAATGTTTCATTGGTTACCATGTGAATTACCCAATCAATATATTCGCATAGTAATGACAACAGGTGGAACAAAAATTGTGAAAGGCTTTAATAACCGATTTGGTGAAGGTTGTTGTATAAGTCTTTCTGCTTGTTTTCAAGCACAACAAATAATTAATAAACTTTTACCAAAATTAATTCAAGAGAACCTTAGACACTTGAGTGATGAACGAGGTGAAAATGATGACATTCCACTTCATTTGACACAAACTGACCAAGATTTAATCAACACAGTTGTACAAAAAAATATAACACCAGGTTATATAAAGTTATTCGCTGAAATAATGGCTGTGAAGTTGAGTGGTAAAGCTAGCGTTGCCTTACCAGAAAATTTACCAAGTGATATACCAGGTTTATTTGTCTTACGGCTACAACAGATACACTATATAGTAAAGCAACAAGGGCTACTAAGTGTTGCACTATTACGTCTTTTGCCATATATAGCTTGTTCACGCCATGGTTTAACATTTCTAGAGTTGATTGAAATACTACAAACTGACCCTGATGTTCAACAGGCTAGGAAAAGATCACAACAAGTCTATTCACTACAGCATTTTCCTGTTGGTTGTCTAAAACACTTGATTTATTCATCAACTTATGGTTTAATAAAATATTTAATGTTCTCAACAACAGATGATAGACTATTACTGACATTCACTTCTGAATCATTTCGTAAGGGTGTACTCATGTTTTGGGGCTTCAATACTGATGATTCCAATCAACTACAGATTGGAGGAAATGATGATTTCCAATTCAATGAAAGTAAAGATGACTTTGAAAAGGATCAGATGATTGTTGCTCCGAAGGAATTTGCATTTCATCGTTATTTATCAGATTATTGGTTAGGTAATAATGGTGGGAAAGATGACTATGAACAACAACCTCAACAACTGAGTCAACAGTATGAAAAGAAGTTGAATACCTCAGAACATACTGAAGACGCATTTAATACAATGTATTATTGGATGGCTACGGATAAAATGAACACTGTTCAATCAGCGAAGAGCAGTACTAGCGTTGTCACAGGAACTTATGATAAGCGATACATTTGTAATGCACGTCGTCTCACAGAAGTACCCTATCAGTTACTTCAAGCAGGCTCAGATAAGATACAAGATCTAATGAAACACGTTATATTTTCATTTGACTTCATTCTAGCAAAAATTTTGTTAGGTTCTAGACCAAATGATGTAATTACAGAATTCTACTATGTAAGACAGTTAAATCAGTTGCGAACAAATGATGAAATTGTGTATCTGTTAAGTTTATTACGAAGTCTGTCTACAAAGTTATCATTGGTGCCGACACTATTAAGTGTAGAAATAGCCGGACGAATTGGACATTTAGCCAGTACAGAGTATGTGAACATAGGACGTCAGTTACTGAACAGCATCGATTGTGATTCAAATAAAGTGAATTGTCTTTTGCCATTGTTGTCAATATGCTACACACCGCCATTGCAACCTGAACTGATACAAGTGAAATATAAAAGTTATAATGTGAAATATTCATCTCTCAGTCAAATACAGCAACAAGAGAAGAAAGATTTGATCACAATATCATCTGATTCAAGATTTTTATTGACTTTAACCATAAATGATATGGATAAAACAACTTTTGAGTCATATGCAAACAAAGATGAAGTTTTAATCAATCTATGGGAAGTGAATTCCCTGACTAAGTCTAATTCTTTCAGTCTAGGCAAATGGCCAGACCATATATTTCATCGCGCCTATATGCCAACACATCAAAATCAAATGGTTCTTCTTACCTATTCAATGAAAACCTTACAAACAAAAATGTCTGGAATTTTAGCGGTCAATTTAGAATTGGGTTGTGTTGAAGGTGATTTATCTGTCTCGTATCCAATTCGCCTGGAGATTATGTGTATCTCCCGTAGTAGTATCGTAGTAACACGATATGAAGCAAAGGATAATGATGGAAAACGTATATCGAGTCAAGATTACGCTACTGTCTATTCCATCCCAAATCTTAAGCCAATCACTGGAGCGCTACTCAAAGTCCCTATGCCATTTTATATATCCCCAACAGATCGAATGTGTTTCGGACCATCAAGATGGCAAATTCAAGGCAAAGTTAATCTGGAGAAAAAGAGAAAGAGGAATAGCACAGATGAGATGAAAGAAGTTATGACTAATTCAGTTCAAGTTCGACTAAAAAGTGCTCCAAATGATATTTTAGCTTGGATAAAGTGTCCATTAGCTGCAGCTATTTTTTTGACGAATATGAGGGGAGAAAATCTATTGATTGGATGTAAAAGCCTGGGTCAGATTTATAGGTTTGATTTAACTACAGTAAGTTGTTTTTTTCAATTTAATTTTTTTTACTAAATATTTTTATCCTCCATGTATTTTAAATGGATGAGAAGCAAGAATTTACTTGGGAAACGTCTTCATTACAGTCCAGTAAGAACTGCTGACAGTAAACAGTTAAAAAGTACGGTTTATTCTTGGTCGGTAACTCAGTAGTAGCATGAGCCCACATACTACTGGAGACTGATCAATTCGGTCCACTCAACGACGGGATAATACAGGAAACAAGGTCATATAAGACATCTTAACCAAGTACTGTGCAGCTCAGTGGCCTTCAGAGTACACTATGTATAAAAAACCGGATCATCTAGACTACTCGGGCAAAACATATGGATGTAATTGGCACTAATAATACCAAGCGAGAAATCAAAATCGCTCAGCATTTCTAGTTAGAAGCTTATTTTGGATAATTTCATGTTCCCACTTTCATTGAGACTGTAGTGGGAATGTGCAACTATGTGGAGAAAAATTATTTCAAGTAGATCTAAGTTCATTGGAAGAGTCATATCCGATCAAAAGTCAAAAACAATGATAATGATCAAGATAACAAAGTAAAAAATTGTTGAAAGCTTCAGTCCTTTAGAAGGCAATGTTGCCGTCAGAAAACTTCTGAAGACTAAAATTAGACCCCGCACTTGAGCTTGAAGGAATAAACCTCTGAAAAGCTGCCGTGTTCCGAAATATCATGTATTCAACCTGTGGTTTCTGATAATTCTGTCACGTATTTGGTAACAGCGGTATACAAGAAATGCTGCATAATTTGAGGGTTTCTGGGGATTTCTTGATTTCAAGTTGGTATTCATCACTAACTGACAGCATCTGAAGGAACATTAGAAATCTAGGGGAACCAGACAGCTGTTTCGTCCTAGTTTGGGACTCCTCAGAGATCCATAGTGCAGTCATAGGTGTACACTACTGAGAAGTCTCATAATATGACGAAACAGCTATTCTTCCCCCCCCCAGGTTTCCAATGTTCCTCCAACTGATATCAGTCCATGACGCATACTGACTTGAAATACTGGATAAGTTTTATCTTATCAAACTGAATGCCACGTATATACCAAAATTAAATCCAAAAAGTGAAACCGGTCATCTAATTATACGATTTACCAAAAAGAAGAGTTTCAAGTCCAGATTAAATTTGTGATCAAATTCAAATATTTAATCAGATTACAAACTGTTATTTATTTGAATTACTCAAGAATATAGCTAATTAACAAATTTACTTGTTCTATAGCTACGCTTTCTCTCATTGCCGGAATGAATAACATGAAATGATTATAAGCAATTTGACCTTTAATAATTAGCTTCTTGATTATTTTTGTTTCACTTACGATAAAGATGGTTTAAAACTCTGGAGGTGTCCATTAGTGGTTTAGGGGGAATAATATCTACCAGTGAGTCGAGGGTTCGAATCCCACTCCACCTATCTAGGTTTGGACAGCCAGGTAGTATCATTAGCCATAACATAATAGGTATGCCTCATTGAATGCTGCCCGGTTGAGTGCGTTTCTCCTCTTCTTTTCTTCTACATAGTCTTTGTTACGAATTCTGTAGTTAAAGCTTGACTATTTTCCGGAGCTTCATTGAAGTCATCTCTTACACAAAATAATGATTACTGCTAAGCTTGAAATTCTTCAGCACTGAGCAAACTCAACTCCTAATACTAAATAACTGAAGGTTATGAAGTTTCTTCAGGAGCACACCATTGGTAGGTCGCTGTATTAGCCACTTTACAACTTCTAGCATATCTTCATCTCGTATGACCGTACTTCAGTACTTCAGTTCTAAACAAAGATCGAAGATATAAGTTCTGTGAATGATAACAGTTTGTGAGAAAAACAATCTCGTGGCTAGTCATCTTATCAAAACACCAGCTTAAGCATATAACAAAAATGCAAACAAAGATGCTTAATGACTGAAACATTTTTGATTCATATTTCAGATTTCGGGGAAAGAAATTCGGACTATCAAGCCAAACATGGAGCTGAATTTGTACAAAAATATAAGGAATACTGTGCAGAATCAAACATTACGATTATCTAACGAAAAGGGTCATTATGTCAGTCCTTTCCTTTGGGATGCTGATGCTCTGACTATGCTTGATCAAGCACGCCATCAAGTGTGTGTACAGAAGTTTTGGCTGTCACCAGATGAAAAGTATCTAGCCGCGTTATATAATGTTAATGACTACCGTCTACTCATAGGTATTTGGCAGATAAACTCTAGGTCATTAATAGCAGGTCTCCAAGGCTATCATGAAAGTCAAATACGTTTCGGTGGTGACAACACAGGTACATTTTTGATACATTTCATAAGATCATCTAATTCTCAAACCTGGATTGAATTAGCTGAATTAAATACCACTCAACCAACTCAAGTAATGTCTGGGATAATGACGGTTAGACAGACAGCAACTGCAAAATCTAGTACAAACGCTTTCGTAAAGTTAAATAGAATATCAGCATTTAAGACTCCCATAGATGAAACATATTTTATTCGTGGTGGTAATCTCATAGTTGTAACAAATGGAAGCATTATCTTGACAAGTATCAATGTACTTAGCTTGGGATCAAAAAATCAAGGGCCAATGTCACTAACACCAATTGGCAGACAGTTATCCAGGGTTAATTATCATCCTGAATTAGACATTATTTACTCAACTGAAGTTGGTAATCAACAACTGTTCACTTACTACAATGTAATTACTCAAAAGTTGATATCTGTTGAGTGCGCTAAAACAGTTTTACAAGATCCTTTCATGAATGACTTTGAACCCGACTTCCTGATGACACCGATACTGGAGGATACACCATGTGAACGTCATCTTAGTTCAGATGGAAAGAGACTGGCACTGGTTTACCGGGTAAAAAACATTGATACCATGAATGTTATTAATAATTCATCAACAGAAGATTATACGAAATTCAATAATGGAACAAAAGAATACAGGAAACCAAAGCTACCAAATATAAATTATTATACATCCCTACAGGAAAAGTTTAACAGTCCACCGGGTATGGGGTATGATCAAACAATTATACGTCTATATGACTTAGATAACGCAGTCGGTGGTACTGGATTACGATGTCAGATATCTATTATAGGAGAATTTATATTTCATATGTCAACCAAATATGGTATCTATACATTGAAACCAGATCATGCCAGTAGCACACGCCTGACTGAATATACAGACTGCTTTAAATCTAATACAGTCAAAGACAGTCGAAACAAAAATTCACTGAATAAATCCGATGAAAAACCTCAAGCTCTACTATCACGTTATGCATCTACAAATGGAAGATTTCTAGGATATACATTTCTGCAACATCCAGTTATTAAAGGTACACAGATTATATTCAATGACCGTTATCTAGTGTTATGCTGTGGTGAAAATGGACAATGGATACGTTTTCTTGAAGCACCAGATTTTCAAAAGTTACTATATGAAGTAAATTTACATAAGCTATTAAAGGAAAATGATGATTATTGTCGTACACCAAGTGTTCAGCGTGTTTTTACATGTCAAGCACAACCTACTACGGTTATCGTTCAATACATATGGTTAGAACAAGAAAATTCAACATTCAACTTAACAGTGTTAAACTTGAGAAAAAAGCCAGATGATGGATTAATTAGGAGTCAAATGTCGATTGTAGACAAGTTGATCGATGTTTCTTCTGATGGTAACTACGGTATAGACGCAAATTTACGACTGATTAGTTTTCAGCAAGGTAGTATTTTAGCATTGTTGAACTCATCAAATCTTATACCGGGTACACAAAATGATCCAATTGTATTATGTGCACAATTCACACCAGACAAATTATATATTATCTGCGTTTTATATTCACTAGAATACCATAATGCATGGCTTGTCATCATACAGAATAATCAAGCCTATAACAACTATCCTGTTGTAGGTAGAGCATTGTTGACACCAATCGAAGAAACTTCTCTCAGTTCTACAGAATTTTCAGACCTGCCAACAATAAAAATTGAGTTAGGACATAATGGTCGATTGATTGTTGTCAAGATGGACAGTGTTAAAGAATTTAAATTGTTCACAATACGGAAACGGGCAAAATACCTTAATCTAGTTCATTCAAGTCCAAATGATCGAATAAAAAATTTATTACCAATAGATAAGACTACATTGGATGAGAACAATTCATGGTCAAATAAGCAAAAACAAGCAAAATATTTAGATGAACTATTTATACGTTTTTCAGAATCACTGTCAATTAATAGTGCAACAACTGGAACTGAAGATGCTTATGATTACAGTGATGACGACGATAATACATATAACAGTGGTTTATATAACAATGATACTGTCAGTTCAAATTCCCAGTTAAGTAACAGTTTCCTTAATCAAGAACAAAAACGAGATATTATTTATTCAACTGATACTACGAAAAACCCTACTAAATTCTCATAGAATAACCTTGACCAAATATGTTTACATGAGTTACTTTTTACAGAATGTCTTCATTCACTCTTTTATGTAAAATGAGTGTTCTATTTTGATGACATAGTGGACTGTATTGTTTATTGTCAAATCGGTTTTCACTCTTTTAATGAATAACTTGAGTTGGTTTAATGTTCAATAAAATTGACCCTGACTACTTAGATATTTAAAGTTTTTAAGATTATCAACTGTACCAGTTTTCTTTAATCCAATAAAAGTATAACTTTGTTGCTTGTATAATCCTGTCGCTGGATGAACGGTACTGAACGATCTCTATAGACTTATAAGCATATGTGTGGCAAGCAAATCCAGTTGATGAGCCCCAAATAGGACGAAACGTGTGTCGTTCGACTGCTAGCCACTATACATCATTAAAATAAAATTATAAATTGAACATACCAGTAAATATTGTTCAGATTTTTAGTTCAAGAGGGCTACTCACAGATTTCATCACAAAGTTATACTGTTTGAAGACTAGTGACAACAGTGTAACATTAGATAGGTTTCTCCTTTGTTTTAAGACATTTTGTTTGTTCACAAACTGAGCTCATTTTAGGATTTAACCAAAGGCAGTATTACCGCTTGTACGTCAATAAATCTTTGTTTGTGTGAAGCTTTTTTCACAGTAAACTTGTAGAACTATATCTTTTGTGACGTTTAAATTTGCAGATTATAAAAAGTTCATTTTACTATTGTACGACACGTATCAAAGGTATGAGCTGAGTACCAGTCACTGAGTACCTGACATCCGATTTTCATTTCTAATGTGATTTATAAAGTAACCATGTATGGAAATGACTCAAAGATACCTTTTCATAAGACACAGTCCTGAATATTATGTTGACTGTTTAAATTATACAACTCAGCAATCAATAAGTGGTGAATGTACCCAAACAAGTCATAAGTCAACCCAAATAAACCGAGCATGTTACTTGTAATGGAATAGATGAGATGGCTGTAGAGTCCTTTTAGCCTATCAATACTTACACAACGCCAAGAATATACAACTGCACTCTCACCTTATTCTATCTATTCGACTGGCAAACTGTGCACTTATTTCCATCAAGTTGTCAACTTTATTGTTTCAGCACCAGTTTCCCAAAGTTCAAGTAACAATTTAGGTAAGATAACACCAAATTATATATATATAGTAGAGAATAACTTACAAATAAGTACAAATTCAATTTTTTCTAAAGGTCATCATTATTCAGACAAAGTTATATGTGGAATGGCTAAAAGCATAATCTTTCACATCATCGCACTATCAGTTGTTGTTTAATCATTCAGGGCATGCGGTTAGTTAACAGTAGGAATTACGTCATAAGGTTGATTACTATCTAATGACCGAGCCGTTTGGTTATTCTTTTTACTTTGTTTTTTGTAGGAAATAATAAAAGCTTTACACTGTTATTGCTTAGAAGACCTTTAAACTTACATCCGTAACTGATCACATGCTTTTGACAAATGACAGTCGATGATATTCAGATTGACTAAATTTACTCCAACAAGTCTTTCAGTTTCATTTCCCATATTGAAAACATGAAGAGCAACTGAATATATTAAATTATTTTGAAAAACGGATCTTAGTGACAGCAGAGCTAAATGTCTTAAGTTAAACGCATCAAAATTTTTTTCAAAGTATCAAGACATTTCTAAATTGCTACCAATACTTACCGACCGATAGCTGTTACCTTGACGTGGTGGTCGGGCTTGCATATCACAATGACCCAACGAGCTATGCCGGTGGAACGCTTGTTCCCTCGAGGTCCTACCATACCATAAAGGTCTGTTGGGTAGTGGTTAGACGAAAAGTAGTTACCGTTGTGGTGTAAATTACTACACTATGATGGGGGTCTGAGGGCGAAGTCGTACTGCTGCTAGCTGGATGGGGTGTGACAGCAGTAAGGTGTTTCCCTTCGATGACCAGTACTGCCATGCTGATGCTGCCTTCTCAGTGGAAGGGGGGGTTAGAAAAGGTCGGCCCCAAAAATAACACACTCCACCATACCCCACGGTCTGCCGGGCCGGCGGTGTTGGTTCACTTGTCGTTTCCTTTCGACTATCCGGCCCCAAAAATACAAAAGTTCAAAATAATCATACTCAAAAGGCTGGGTGTGACAGGCCTCAAGCAGATGTCCGATGGGCTCTGCGGTCACACAAATCTCTTCCAGGTACCTTAAGAAGAAATAGCCTTCCACGGTGTGGGCAGCCGGGAAGTGTCAACCGCCCTCACAACTCTGTCAGCACCCAAGTTTCTTCTGACTGCTATCCACCTCCTCCATCATTACCTTCTAATCTTCCTTCACGTCTCTTAATTAATGATGCTGCATCATCTTCAATTTCTCCTACCTCTGCAGCCTTCGACAACGATCTGAGTCCACAGAACAGCATCACTGGTCTCCTTAAACCACGCTCCAAATTACATATTGGAGCCTTCAATGTCCGCACCCTCCGTCAAATTGGTCAACAGGCTTCGTTAGCAACTCGGGCATGGATGTGTGCTGTGTTTGTGAGACACGCATACAGGACCCAAGTGTGGTTATTCACCTGACACCTCCTGACCAATCTGGTGAATCTTCAAAATTCACCCTTCGAGTTTCTGGAGATTCGATAGCTAGCTCTCGTGGTCTTGCAGGTGTAGGTATAGCATTAAGCACCAGGGCAGAAAACTCACTACTAGACTGGATCCCAGTTGATAGTCGCCTCTGCGCTATGAGGCTGAACGGCACAGTGAGAACTAAAAGGAATAGTGAGACTCGCCGTTGTCTCTTTGTAATCTCTGCTTACGCACCCACTGACTGCAGCTCGGATGAAGTGAAGGACGAGTTCTACCATAAACTGTCTAACCTCCTCTCGAAAGCCAAACGTTCGGACGTAGTGGTTGTTGCAGGTGACCTCAACGCACAGGTGGGTAGACTGAGTGAGGCAGAAAGGCACTTAGGTGGCACTTTCGGAATCCCAGCTGAACGTACAGATAACGGTGATCGCCTATTACAACTATGCTCAGATAACCGCCTATTTTTAGCCAGCACCAATTTCAGACATAAAGAAAGGCACTGTCTGACCTGGCGTCCACCGAGCTCGACTCAGCGATGGACACAGATAGACCACATTGCTATTAGTCATCGCTGGAGAGGATCGGTGGAAGACTGCCGCTCCTTCTGGAGTACGTGTTTGGACAGCGATCATGCGTTGGTCCGAGCACGTATATGCCTGCGTCTCAATGGACGTAAAAAAATTTGGCAACAAAACCACTACGAGTTCTGCTGGACAACGAAAACACCAAAGCCGTGTTCAGTGAGAAGTTGGCTAGGCAGTTATCGGAACAAAAGACTGTCACCCATCCAGAAGAAGCTTGGTGCCATCTTCAGTCTGCTGTAAAAGCAGCACTGAGGACTGTAACCGACTCCGAAAGAGTGGCTAAAAAGAGCCAGTGGATATCAGCAGCTTCTTCCAAACTAATGGATGCACGTGAATGCATCCCTGCAGGCCTTGAGTACAATGAAGAGCGAGCGCAACTTAAAAGTAGACTGAGGAAAAGTCTATGCAACGATCGTGAACAGTGGTGGGCAGTGAAGGCTAAAGAGATGGAAAAGGCAGCGGCGATTGGTAACAGTAGACAGTTATTTAGACTTATTTAGGAAACTGGGGGAAAAGGTCGACTGCAGTTAGTGAGACCATAGCAGAGAAGGACGGATCTGCAATTCACTCGCAGGAGAGATGACTGGAACGATGGGGAGAACACTTCGAGGAGCAGTCTAACTGGCCTCCAACCACCATTGCGTTGCCCGCTATCCAGTCAGATCCTGAATGGGACATTGAGATAGGCCTCCCAACACTAACAGAAGTTGAGAAAGCGGTAGGTAACCTGAAACGAGGAAGGGCAGCAGGACCAGACGGACTACCTGCTGAGGTATACAAGAATGGTGGTAGAGTTCTCTTAGTCAGGCTAACGGAAGTGTTAGCCAGTATATGGGAATCAAATACGATCCCCTCCGACTGGTCTAAGTCACTGATCATCCCAGTCTTCAAGAAAGGCGAGAAGTCCTCTTGTGATAACCACAGAGGAATCAGCCTGACAAACATAGTGTCTAAGATCCTAAGTTCTATAATTCTCCGACGCCTGAATGGAGCTCGGGAACAGCAAGCCCGAGAAAACCAGGCAGGCTTTAGACCTGGCCGTGGATGTATCGACCAAATATTCACACTGCGCCAGGTCCTGGAACATAGGCATGCTTACAGACGCCCGACAATAGCTGTATTTCTCGACCTGAAGGCGGCATTTGACTCCGTTGATCGAGAAGTCTTATGGCAGTGTCTGTCACTGAAAGGCGTGCCTAGTAAGTACATCACCTTATTGAAAGCTCTCTACTCGAACACTTGTGGGCATGTTAGAGCCTATGGCGAGTTGTCCAGGGAGCTATACTCATCAAGTGGTGTCCGTCAAGGATGCCCACTGTCTCCATTCTTATCCAATTTCATCATAGATATTCTTATAGAGGTTTCCCTCTCGTCGCCTGAGTACACAGACGCTGACCTAATCACAGGAGAATTTTCGTTAGATCTAGAATATACAGATGATATAGTCCTGTTAAGTGAAGGCGCTGACAAGATGCAGAGTCTTCTGAACACTTTGAGTGGGAATTTGAGAATGTTTGGGATGCGATTTTCACCACCCAAATGCAAATTTTTGCTCCAGGACTGGTCTTCAGCGGTACCGCGGTTAACAATAGAGAGTGAAGTGGTTGAGTGTGTTGACCACTTCACTTACCTGGGAAGTAGGATCACCTCCGGTGGGTCAGTTGCCGATGAGATTTCTGCACGGATACAAAAGGCTCGATTGGCTTTTGCCAATTTACGCCACCTATGGTGCCGCCGTGATATTCGTTTGTCTATTAAGGGTCGCGTATACTGCACAGCAGTCCGCTCTGTTCTACTGTATGGCTGTGAAACATGGCCATTGAAAGTGGAAGACATGAGAAGGCTTCAGGTGTTTGACCACCGTTGCCTTCGTAGTATAAACCGTATTCCGTGGTGTCACCATGTGAGTAATGCAGAAGTTAGGTGTAGAGTTTTAGGGAGAAGAGGTAAGTCAGTTGACGAGGTTGTGAACCTTCATCGACTGAGATGGTTGGGACACGTACTACGTATGCCTAGTCACCGATTGCCTCGTCACACAATGTTGGCTGAGGTGGGTCCAGGCTGGAAAAAGGCCCGAGGTGGCCAGA